CTACTACTATATTCCTACGATTTGTTAGTTGGAATCATGGCAGAAGTTATCATCAAAGTGATTAAGTTTCCTTAATGTGCTCTAATAAGTAGAACAACAGCCTCATCATGGGTTGTGAAATTTTGATTCGTCTTCTACCAGCGCAGTAACTGGACTTACATAAAATGTATATATTTGCATGTAATATTTGGNTATTTTATGTTTTTACTGTCTCAAAAACGTATATTTTTTTGCTTTTAACACATGCTAACAATTTTAATTTTTTGATATTTTTAAATGTTCCAAAGCTTACGTATTTAAAAACACTTTATTGTGAGATTTTCACTAAACCGTATTACAAAAATGCAACACGTGTTTCGCCATACAATGGCTTCTTCGGACATGTGTTTACTGTAAAGTTTTTACAGTAATTAAATTCAAAATAATTTCAAAACACAGTTTCCGTGTTGTGGGTGTGAAACAGTTATTTATTCGCGTTAGACATAATCCACAGTCAGTTTTGTTGTTGAAAGTTTACGTTGTCAATTGTTGTTGACAGTTAATTTGTGGATTATCTGCTGGCCTTCGTGAGAATTCGTTTATAATGTGAGACTACAGTCTTCATGGTATTGAAACATTGCACAAACAATTACTCATACAAAGCTCATACATAATAATCTGATACAGTATGTATCAGTTCTACTTCTCCATATTTATACAAGAAAATCTGAAAGGAAGATAGGAAAAAGAAAGGTTTGGCTAACACAGAAATGTTTTTTATGAAATTTGATTTCAATATTCGATACAGTTGCCTTCGAGAACGATACAACGACTTTTCGATACCATTCTTATAATACGATTTGTCTCAGCCTCAAAATAGGTCTCAGTTTCTATGATCAACTTTTCATTGCCGCTAAATTATTTTTTAGACCTCTTAGAGTCTGAGAACAGGAAAACGTCGCTGGGGGCAGATCTGGAGAATACGGTGGATGCGGATTTGTCGCACGTTGCATTGTCTTGATGAAACAGCACTTTCTCTTTATTCAAATGGGGCCGTTATTTCGTAATAGTCGATAAATAACTATACCATACGCATCCCAAAATGCTGATACCATAACCTTTCGAATCGGTTCACCACGTGCAGTCCACTCAGATGACAATCGTTTTGATTCTGGTGTGAAATGATGGAGTCATGTTCCATCCATTGTCACATCGACGCATAAATTCGGGTTTTATAGGGTGGAATAGCTTCAAACACTGAATGAATTTGCTGTAGCTGCCTCCGTGGTGATGTTGGGACATCCTAGAAATTCTAGGTCTCCTATCTGAAACCACAAATGTGCGATAGGCTCCTATTGATGACTTCATTCGTTTGTGCTGTTTTCCCGTTTTAGGCAATCAAGTGTTTCCATCTTTGCACTTAGATACATTGCGCGTGGTGGTGCATTTGGTGTACTTGTGTGTAGAATATTTTTCGTTAGTTCATGTTTAGCTAACAGAAACAAACCGGATGATTTGCCTACTCGGGCAATTATCCGTGTGAAAAACAGTGTTCTTGAATCCAAACCACGAACGGATATTATATGACCTTGGTTATCAGTCATCGCAAATGCCAATCTAATGGGAAGTTGTACACGTTTAAAATGAATTAACACTACTGTAGGTATAATAGTAATTCGCAGTATTTATATATTTTCACTTAGGAACTTGCCATTTTAAATGCTGGCTTCGACAACATTTTTCATTATTTTTTCAATAAATAATTGCGTGCGGTTGCACAGCCGTGGTGGATACAAATTACGGAGCGATCCAACCTTCAGTTGTAGATTATGCGGTGGCATGCCTAACAAATCCAATGAGTTCAAAAACTCTGTTGGATAATTCGGTGGCATCGCAAATTGTATCTACGCTCGATGAATAAACAATAATAGTGGCTGAAAACTATGTAGGCAGTGAGAGAAGGCTTATTGTGTGACAGAGAATGGATTCCGGCTTCGTTCCCATCCCTACTCCGTGCTATTTTCTGACTGAGAAGTTACACCGGTAGATGGCTGGCGGGAATAACACATATATGATCAGGGTTAAAAATTATTAAATTACTAAAATGGCTATTAAAAATTAAAGTTGATGATAAAAGGGGAAAAATTGAGGGTTATATGTATTTTTAATTGCCACATCATAAAAAATATAAACAAAACATTTTGTTGGGGTGGAGCACACTTAGGGGTATGAAAAATAGGTTGAAATATATTCTTAGACCTACCGAATATAAATATTAACTCCTAATTATATTAAAAAACTTGCTTATTCCTTTTGCAAACAGAGTAAAATACACAAATATTGAAACTCTTCTGTCTAACTGTACATATATTATTCCGTCGTACAAATTGTTCCCATAAGAAACAGAGAGATTAGAATGATTCATGAAGGTTATACTGTCAGCAACACAACCACACAGTTGCACTGTTCTTGCCAGTGGGACAAATTTTCGCACCACAACTAATCGTATTCAAACGTATTCGTAAACCCCAAATGGCAAGAGAAATTTCAATGTGATTTATGTTCTAGTGAGGTTATCATACATACAAGGAAGTATAAGTGTTTCATATTGAGCGAGGGAATACTTGGCAAATATTTCATATCAAAACATTCACATTATTTTTTTTTATTCAATTATAAAGTAAATAGGATGCGGTTATATATGAAGTAACACATCGGACAAGTGGCCTCCAAGAGTTTGCTGGCTATTTACCTCTTTGTCGAAATTTTCTAGGACCATTCTGATAGAATGTAGCTGAATTTCGTTGATGCGTCATTGAATTTCCCCTGTTAATGCACGGGTGAGTGTGGGCTTGTTAACATACACCTTTGACTCCGAATAACTGAATAAAAAAATCCAAAGGTATTAAACGCGATCTAACCGACCTGGAAATGTCCATCTCTATCTCTTCTCATTCGAGCGCATTTGGTCAAGCTCCATCTGTTCATAGTAAACAGAAGCTTGGTCTGCGAGCGCAGCTATCTTGCTCGAAACAATACTGCCACCCTGAGTTTCTTCATCCACATCTTCTTTTGACATTTTTTTTTACTAGTCGCCTCCTTTTCAGGAGACCTTCGGATAAAAATAACACAAATGCACTTGTCCATATATTTTATAGAACTGACGACCTCGTCGGCAACCAGCCTGGTTACTGGCGTAGGAAGGCGCCACTCATATTTCACTTCAATATTTATTCAAACATATCTTCATTTCAGATTACACTTTATTTTGAGCTAACACATTTTGGACTCCACTCCGACAAGGATATCCACGTGCCATCTTTAAGGGCGATCCTTATTAGCACAACCGTCCTCTGTCGCGATTGGAGAGGCTAAATGTCTAATGCAGAATTTAAATTGTTCCATGAGTTGTACGACATCATTGAAACCCTATATCAATATCATCCAATTTACGCATGAGGAAATGTGTTATCCGCGTTTCGTGGTGGCTGTGGTAGTGAACGGACGTGCTGATAACGTCCGCCCACAAAGAAGGTACGCGAATGCCATGTGCAATCTTGGGACTCCGTTTTGTGTTGTGTTAGTCCATTGTGGGGATTATTGAAATGTGTGAGAGTCTTTTGAAAAGTGAAGAATGAGGGGCCTCCTTTATTCACGCTGGTATCCAGGCCGGGGTGGTTCGGATAACCACGTAAAAGGAGCTGTATATGTGATAAAAAAACAAAAGGTCTTTCGAGCAGAAGGCGACTTGATAAAAAATTAAATTGTTTTTATGATAAAAGAGTTCGACAAAAAAATTGGTGGCAGCATTGTTTCGTGCAAGATCGCTGCGCCCCCCCCCGACGAAGCTCCTGTCAATCTTGATAGGAGGAGCCTGGCCAAATGCGCCCGAGTAGGCGCATCCAAAATATATAAAGAGAGAGAACTGTGTTACCGTGTAGCATTAGTCACTGCTTGATCAAACCTGGTTCTCAAAATATTATGGTCCAATGATGCATCCAGCCCAAAATCCAAACAAAAAAGTGAGACGTTGTGGATGCATAGGAAAATTTTACTCAAATAATCAGCATCTAATTGTTGATATTCAATAATCCATTCAGCGAACGCTCCTCGCTGTGTAGGGTCATTATGCTTCGATTGTTATAAAAACAACCCAATCCTCTTATATCAAAGAGGAGTAAGTAAAAGAGGGTGATGACATCTCTTGTTACGAAGTTGCCATCTATGGGATCGACAGAGAACTATGGATCTCATAGATCGTAAGATCGTTCATCGGTTAATGTTCTTTGCGTTCATCGGTTAATGTTCTTTGAAGGATATTACAAGCTACTTTTCTCGACATGTTATTTGCCAAGATGACAAAGTGTATTGTTTCTTTTCAGAGTTAAGACTCTATGCCGTGATGTGCCGAGTCACTCTTTTGATGGATCGAGTCGACTCGAGTCAGTTCATGCGGTATTCGAATCATGACTCGATTCCCTGATTCGATTTATTTTTTAGTAATTCGAGACAGCTTTAAGGAATCCTATACATCTAAACACTAGACAGATATAGTAAGCATTGAAGTCAAACCATTTCAATTCTGCAAAAGTAGGAACACAAACTCAACAGCTCAGAATATAATATTTGGGAAGGTATCCACCTAAGCAACCTAAACCGTACTCACAATACCGTACCTAACGAAATGTATATATAAAAAAACAAAATAGAAATAAGAAAATAAAAGTTATTTGAAATAACTGTTCTAAAAAAGTATTTGCTCAACCTTCTTGGACTCCAGTCTATTGCATCGTTGGTTGCAAAAGACCAGCCTTAGAGAAAACTCGTTCCGAAGGCACAGAAGTGGCTGGAATACATGAATACTTCAAAGCTATTCTATAACGGCCGCTGTTGGTGATTTTGCGAAATTCCCAACATTTCAGTGGATTGGCTTTTCTATCCAAATACGGTAGCTTTACGTACTGTTTCACCTTGATAACTGCTGATATTGTGGGGTTTTCCATGCTTGAAAATTCCAATACCCTTGCTCCCATAAATTCTCGCCAGTCACCTCTGAAGTTATCTGCTGGGAATCTGAAGATGGAGTTGTAGGTGTTTCGAGACGTGAAGTAGATGGCAGTAGAGATATATTTGGCACCTGGAATTGAGCTTGAGATTCCTGTGTTTCCAACATCATCAACTCGTCAACAACAAATTGTTGAGCATTATCTGCATTCGTCTCGATGCCAAAACCAGCTTTCGTAAATCTTGGATCCATGAATGTTGCTTTAGCAACAATTTCGTTAATCTCATGACCGCCAAATCTTTTATCAAAAACGTCCAGATAATAATAATACCATAATACATGTGTTCCACAGGTTTTAAAACGCAAAGGCACTCGTGCACCTGAAACTATCGGCGTTCTTACTTACTTCTACTATTCCTAGTACTCATCAAGTAGAAAAATCATGGCAGAAGTTATTACAAAGTGATTAAATTTCCTTAGTGTGCTCTAATAAGAAGAACAACAGCCTCACTATGGATTGTGAAATTATGCCCAGTTCTCGGAAATTAGGTTTGTACAAAACTCGCTTATTGATTGGGAATCATAATATCGTTTCTGAACTTTTGTTGCTGATTGGGTTTTGTTTAAGTCACATAACAACACTTGCGCTGAGTGATCAGATATACCTGTTTCAATAACTATCCCTTTTTTATCACCTTCGAGATTCGTAATTATGTTATCTAGGCAGGAACTGGAATGGGAGGTAACCCTTGTCGGTTTGTTGATGGTTAAAATGGAATTATAAGTAGCTAACAGATTTATGAAATCTTTACAGGTATTGCTTGTAAGAGAAAGGGTGTCTATGTTAAAATCACCTGCTATAAAAGTACGAATCGATTCTTCCTAACTCGAGTACCGGAATCGAGTCCGGCGTACTCGAATCAAAATAAATTGGTATTCGAGTAGACGAGTTCTAAAGCAGGAATCGAGTCTTACTCTAATCAAACCGTAATCGGTACATTACTAATTTTTTCCCTACATTTTTCCAGCTATCAAATTCAAACAATCGAAATGCAAGAAATTTTTGAAACTCTTGCCAAAATCACCATAAGTTAAGCGATCATTTGAAAAAATATATTTTGTTATTTCAAGATAAGGTAATCAGAAACTGTTTTTTTCATTTCTATACCCGCGTAAGCCTCAAAGCACGTATCTAGTTGGTTACTGAGCAATGAAATTACTATAAAGAACTAGTTTGGCATACTAATTTACTGAGCTTCCTCTTCCTCTTGAAGGTGTCGAGGTGTTGAAATAGCGGTTTGGTGTTGTGGAAAAATTTCAGTAATGTAGTGAAATGTTTGAATGTGACTGTTTCCATTCTATGGGCAACTCAAATAACATTTTGATACTACCAAATTTTCGAACGATTCTGCTGCATTGCGAATGGGTTCAATGTACTCCTATTTTTGTAATCTTATGGTTGGTATTTGTACTCAGGGTTGGTTCTGGTAATCAGGTACTGTAGTGACACAGGAGGGGGTTGAACAAGCATATATAAGATATTCCAGGATCATGGACCCAGTTGTAAAAGTGTTTTGATTGTGTTCAACTGATAGTGTCAGTGTTCTTACCACTACTACTATATTCCTACGATTCGTTAGGTGGAATCATGGCAGAAGTCATCATCAAGGCGATTAAGTTTCCTTAGTGTGCTCTTATAAGGAGAACAACAGCCTCATCATGGATTGTTGTTCGAACTTTATGTTTTTACTGAATCAGAAACGTATACTTTTTTGCTTTAACACATGCTAACAACTTCAATTTTTTGTAATTTTCAAATGTTTCAAAGCTTATGTATTCAAAATCACTTCATTGTGAGATATTCACCTAACAAATTCTCAAAACGAAACACGTGTTTCGCCATACAATGGCTTCTTAGGGTGTTTGTAAATTCTTTACAGTATTTGAATTAAAAAAGTTTCAAAACACAGTTTCCTTGTCAAAGTTATGTTGTGGGTATTATCCAGTTATTTATACGAATTAGAGATTATCCACAGTTTCCGCTGTCAGTTGTTGTTGACAGTTAATCTGTGNCCACAGTTTCCGCTGTCAGTTGTTGTTCACAGTTATTCTGTGGATTATCAGAAAGCTTTCGTGAGACTTCGTTTATAATGTGAGACGACAGTCTTCGTGGGATTGTCACATTGCACAAACAATTACTCATACATTATTCTGGTGCATTAAGTACTAGTTGAGAGAAGCTTTGGCTTTCTACTTCTTCATATTTATACAAGAAAATGTGAATCTCATCGATAAGCTATGATATCGATAATCGGATATTTTTTTCTTATTTTATTCTAATGTTTGGAAATATCATATAATTGGGTACGATTAGGAATATACGATCGTACGGTGGGCAGCCCATCAAATTTTCCCAAACGGAAACTTCAATTTTTTGTAAATTTCAAATGTTTCAAAGCTTATGTATTCAAAATCACTTCATTGGGAGATGTTCACCTAACAGATTCTTAAAACGAAACACGTGTTTCGCCATACAATGGCTTCTTAGGGCGTTTATAAATTCTTTACAGTATTTGAATTGAAAAAGTTTCCGTGTCAAAGTTATGTTGTGGGTATTAAACAGTTAGTTATACGAATTAGAAATGATCCACAGTTTCCGCTGTCAGTTGTTGTTCACAGTTATTCTGTGGATTATCAGAAAGCTTTCGTGAGACTTCGTTTCTAATGTGAGACAACAGTCTTCGTGGGATTGTCACATTGCACAAACAATTACTCATACATCAATCTAGTGTATTAAGTACTAGTTGAGACAAGCTTTGGCTTTCTACTTCTTCATATTTATACAAGAAAATGTGAATCTCATCGATAAGCTATGAAGTTTTATATTTATGGATGCGTTCTCAAAATACGAAAAGAAGTTTGATGATTGTTCAAGTTTAAAAATGGTTAGATAAGTGCATTATGAATAAAAAAAACAACTGTAAATTGTCATTGATTTTTTATATGAACAAATAAAATTATTTGGATAACCTGGAAGATAATGACACGTTTTCATTCTCTTCATTATTATTCCTGAGGAGATATTTTTCTGGTGAAACAGGATGAGAAAAATACTAGTTCGGAGTAAGTGTTATCGGCAGTATTCAAAATCACTCTATTGTGAGATATCCACCTAACAGATTCACAAAAACGAAACACGTGTTTCGCCATTCAATGGCTTCTTAGGGCATGTGTAAAGTCTTTACAGTATTTGAATTCAAAAAATTTCAAAACACAGTTTCCGTGTCAAAGTTATGTTGTGGGTATTAAACAGTTATTTATTCGGATTAGAAATAATCCTAACCTGGATAATAATGACTCGTATTCATCTCTTCATTATTATTCCTGGGGGGATATTTTTCTGGTGAAACAGGATGAAAAAAATACTAGGTCGAAGAAAGTATAATCGACTCTCGACTATCGAGTTATTTAAAGTCATGATTGTTGAAAGGGATCGACCACTGACGACCTTTTAGAGGCTTGATAGGATCACAGTATTTTGTATACATGTAGTCGTAGACTACCGAAAACTCAATGAAAAGACAATCGACGACAAATATCCACTTCCAAATATTACTGGCCTTTTAGACAAACTAGGAAAGTGTCAATATTATACTACCTTAGATCGCAAGTGGATTTCATCAAATCGAAATGGACGAACAAGATATTGAAAAAACAGCTTTCAATACTGAAAACGGACACTATGAATATCTGAGAATGCCGTTTGGGCTGAAAAATGCTCCAGCTACCTTCCAACGTGTGATGGATAACATTCTTCGCGGTATTCAAAACGAAAAATGTTTGGTATATCTCGATGATATAATAGTATTTTCAACTTCCCTGCAAGAACACATAGAACGGTTACGATCTGTGTTCCAGAAATTTAGAGAGTCTAACTTTAAAATACAGTTAGACAAATCTGCGTAAAGAAGTTGCCTATCTAGGCCATATTGTCGCCCCTAACGGAGTTAAACCTAACCCCGATAAAATAATTGCCATAAAAAATTATCCGTTGCCAAAAACCACGAAACAAATCAAAGGATTTCTCGGACTCCTTGGCTACTATCGGAGATTCATCAATAACTTTTCTAAAATCACAAAACCTTTAACGAAATGTCTGAAGAAGGGAGCGAAAATCGAACATGATGAAGAATTTCTTTCATGCTTTGAGACTTGTAAAAATCTTTTGATAAATGAGCCTATCTTGCAATATCCCGACTTCACAAAACCATTTAATTTGACCACCGATGCAAGTAATGTTGCATTAGGCGCCATCTTGTCCCAGGGACCGATAGGTAATGACTTACCCGTGGCGTATGCCTTGAGAACGCTGAATGATTCAGAACAAAATTATTCGGTTATTGAAAAAGAACTATTGGCAATCGTTTGGCCTACTAAATATTTTCGCCCATACCTGTTTGGACGGAAATTTAACATTTTAACTGACCACAAGCCGTTACAATGGTTGTTTTCGCTAAAAGATCCAAATTCGAAATTATTGCGATGGCGTATTAAACTCGACGAGTACGATTATAATATAATTTACAAAAAGGGCAAACTAAACACAAATGCAGACGCTCTATTACGTATAGAAATTCACACCAAAGAAACAAGGATTTTCTGGGACGAATTAGACGAAATACTCGGAGATGCACGTTTAGCTCCTCAGTCTACAACTTTTGGTAACCAACCAAATCCTATCCATCCAGTCCTAGGAACCCCTGAATATCAGCCCTCTTTGATATCCAAACCATCGGAGATCCTTAGCCAGACCTAGACGACATATCTGTTATGGTAAATGTAGGCGACGATGCCGTTGAGAATAATACTGACAGACTCAACGAAGACATTGCCTCAATTCAGGTTTCACCTGACGTAGAACCGCCAATGAACACCCAATCAGAACCTCCTGATCAGCCAGGACCCCCTGCCCAGGCAATACTTCTCAACCAACCAATACCTCTCAATCAACCAGAACCTCCTGACCAAGCTGAAAATGACCAATCGGAACTTCCCATACAAATAGAACCACCAGTAGAAGACGATAACACGGTACATACCAATCAAGAACAAAATCCTGTAGTAGACATACTGATCTCTGAAACTGCGGTTAATTATGGTCAAAATTGAATTATTTTCGGTTCAACCTTACATAGTCCCACTAAACCAAAAATTACTATATTATTTGGTAAAAAGAAACGAATTACTGTACA